AGTCTACCTAGTTCCTGGGGTAATCAGAGCGGTAAAAAGTGTTAATCCGGCCATTATGGTTTGCTTTGATACATCAAAGGTCACATTCGCCATTGCTCACTCACACCTATACAATGTTTTTGACAAGAGTGTTTCCGATGCCGTTTTCGCCGAGATGCTAGCTTACTTGGCTTATTTTGCTAGCAACGTGACCTTAGACATCTGGGGGGGGGGGGAGGGGGAGGGGATAAAGTCCGACGTAAAGCGAGAATGAAGCAACTGTGGCAGGACGATGGAATGACGAATTTGCCCATTTCTGGTCATTCCTCTGCGCATACCTGTTTGTGGTCGTGATAGTACAGATGCTATTCCAAGATGTGTAAATCCTGGAGTGAACAAAAATTACTGAGCTCGCACAAAGACAATAAAACAAAACGTTTCGTTGCCTTATGTTTTATTCAGAATTAGTCATGTCATCTTCTTCTGCAAAAGCATTATTTCCTGCCAGGTTTAATACCAGTACAGCCGTACCTACAACGGACGTTTATTTCGTGTTGGCTATTTGCGGATCACACCGCGGGGCACGCAGCTGCTGGGGTGCAGTCGGCGGCGGCACGTGTCGCCGCGGGGGACAGCACAGCGCCGCCCCGAGGGGCGCTCTAATTGGTCAGTAAGCGGCAGTAATTGAAAGGCGTATCACACTGTGGATCTCAATTCCTACAGCTCACTCGGTTTACTCGGAAATGCTGGCGGGTCCCTGTTCGCAGGGGCTAGCATAGCCAAGAGGAAATATGGCAAGTGCCGCATAGGTTTGAGGCTGTTTCTTTGCACTTATTTCGCAAAATCTGAACATACATGTAAAGTGTTTGGGGAAATGTCCGGAGCTCAAAGCTCTGCATCGAGGTACTGGATATATACTGAATGAGACACATCCATCATAGATCTGCACTAGTGACCCGTATTGCATTTCACTGCGTTTGTCCTCCCCCCCCCCCCCTCGGGAGATGAGGGTGGATAGCATAGGAATAGGCTTCGAATGCGGTTAATACAATTCCACTTTTCTTAAATGGGAAATTATTTTTGGCTGACCTTAGCGATATTTGATCCGACTGAAGATCATCGTATCCATTTCCACATGAAAAATACAGATGTGTGCTTGCGGCGCCATTTCTATCTCCGCTCCAACCTGGGTCCAGTGATAAACGCCGACCCCCTTGTGCATCAAACGCCCGCCCACATGGCCCGGTAAACGGCGTCCTGCCACAACCCACACTCGCATGACCCGACGAGTCTCCATCCACCCACGCCAGGCAAGAGGCAGCGCACCCTCCCTCAGCTGGCGCTGCGCAGCCCGGTTGCCATGGCTACCGGCGGGATGCCGAACCGGGCCGGCGGACCGCCGGCTGCTGCCGCCACGCCGGTCGGCCATGTCATAATTGCCATTGATGAAGTTTTATTAGCTTTCAAAGGGAGTCGGGCGGCGATATTGGCGTCAGGAGCCAACGATATGAGGCCGCGGCGCCGTTTCATTAGACTAAGCGTACACGGGGATTACTGGGGACTGCTAGCTCGGATTCCTTCAACCCCGCGTGGCGGACGCGTTTGCTTTTTACGCCGGCCGCTGGCCGGGAACAGGGGGACGCGTACTAACGCTGGAATGCCGCTGGCCGATTCATTGACGTCCAATGCTGCCCGCTCGGAATGCCAGACATGCTGGGCATGTTGTCCGATATACTGGCGTAATGCAGGTGAGACAGTATGCCTTAAGACGCGACAGCGCACGACAAGGCTGTACACTGCATACTGATAACATTTTTGTTGTCAGTATGTGAGATCAGTCAACGAACCGGGATGCTTAGAACTTATTGACATTTGGGTCATTATTCTCAGCTTAATGCAACTGAAGCATCATGGCTGGGCTCCTTGCATGTCGTTATCATCCAGTATCTAGTTTATAACTGCGACAGGCGGCATCGCCAACACTGCAATATTTGTTCCTAAAAAACAAACAATGGTGCACACACAATTAGGTGTGCACATTGCCGCAATGGCCGCTCAAAAACAATATGCGTGAGGATTGGCAACGTTGTCATAGCTTATATTCATCATCATTTCTTGGCCTGGCAGCCTTATTCCAAAAATGAATATTGTTCAGAACCTTTCCTGATGATTTTCGTATTTTCTTAATATATCACATTTGAAAAATTCGAATGTCTCTAATTTCACGGTAATCATACATTCCTTAATCTTACCTTCGAAACACTGCTGCAAAAACCTACGCTCGGAAGACCTACGTTCGAAAAATCTACCTTCGGAATACCCATACTCGGAAGACGAGTGGTCAGAAGACCTACTGCTTGATATACAAATTCCCGGTATGTCTAGGCTCGGAAAACCTACCACTCCTGCCGTTGTGAACGCCTTTTCTGGGAAGACCTCCGCTTTCGGAAGACCTGTTTCTGGAATGCATGCACCCTGAAGACCTACGCCCAGAAGACCTATGCTCTGAAGACCTTCTGCCGGAGACCTACTATTTGAATACCTCCTGGTGATGCCCGTTTATTGGGTCAATACTGTTAAGCAACCAGGGCCGGTAGAACACAATGGATGGCCGGAGCGTGAAAGGTTGGCTTGGGTGGGCTGAAAAACCGGCGTGGCGACCTGATGACTTCGAAGCCTGACGTGAAGTATGATGATAAGGTCAAAGCGCATTGGACGAACTGACGCAAACTCCTTCCCCAACAGCATTCAGCGTGCGGCTCCACCGCGTCACAGCTCAGTTGGAGTGCGTCACGCGCGGGCAGTACACTGCAGGCATGGGTGTAGCGTGGTCTCCACGTCGCGCATTGTTTAAACTATGCGTCCATTACGGCAGCACAACAAGTGAATCATGTTAAAGAGTAACTTACCTACCCATATGCAACGGACCTGGTTTATGAAAATGTGTTTGCGCTATGCCAAAGGCCACACAATAATTCAGGTCATTTTCCCGCGGCAAAGAAAAAATCAACATTAACCTCATCCTGCAGCACTTCATCCACTTATCAGCACTTCATCCACGTGCGTTGAATCGAAAAGATGCGTACGTGTCGATGGGCAAAGTTTCATGATCCAAGAGGCTTGGTAAAAGTGGGAACTGCAAGTTATCCTCCAGCTCCAACATACCCTATCTGGGCATGCTACCTGTCTATTTGGCCCCAGTTTCCCCAAAACGGCAGCTTCTCTAAACGAACCGAGTAAGGTGATCATGACCTGTTCAAAACCCAACAGTACCTCCCTTGCAAGCGTTCAGCTGTCTTCATTTAGAACGAGTAGAAATCAAAGCCAAAAGTTGAATACAAGCATTTGACATAAATTATCAAACCGAATAGATACTGATCATAAATGCTACGACCGTTGGGTGGTCTGGCGATTGGCATAATGCACCGTCTTCTTAGTCTGACTACACAGGTAAGCATGAAACGGTGCCACAATAATACGAGACTCTCGTCAGACGCAATGGCTTTCTTGTTTGGTAAATGAAGTTATTTGCTGCACAGGGTGAGATTCGTGGCCATGACATATACCCTCGCCATTTTCGAGTCCCCTGGGGCGCGTTATGAGGCGATTTGTATTGCTGCTGGCATCGAGAAGGACATATGATGGTCGCCAGAAGAGCCGTTTGCGGTTAAGAATTATGCCACCCGGCCTACGCGCCACCCCTGGGACTATGCCTTAGCCCACCCATTACCCGTTAAATATGAGCTTGATCGCTCGGCAGTACTCCTCTCAGGTTTTGCAGTTTATCTGCCAATGCATGGTGTACAGCGCTTATTTCGCACTTAAAATATTATTTTTCAGCTTTCACAAGCATTCAGTCCCGCGATGCGCTACCACAGCGATTGGGCGGCATCGCCCTATGCCCATGTTCGTTGTACATACATATGTGCCTAGTACGTTTCTTGCATTATAAATGGCCTATGAATAGAAATCAGCGAACTAAGGGTACTTACAGGCACAAGTGTATACAGCACATACATTACATGTATGTTCTCCTCGGAAAATGTAGGCTTTCGTTGCGATCTCTGTGATAATACAGCAAAGTGAAGTCAGCTACTTGTTCTTTGTGGTACTAGGGATGGCGAATCCGCCGCAATGGTATACCATCCATGACATCAGTAAAGTTCAATTCATCTTCAAAACCGGATTGCAGCTTTCACGGTATGTTGCCTTCCTAGCCAGCTGGACACAATTTTACGTTTCCATGAAGTCTGGTTATTCTTCCAAACAGCAATTTCAGAGCAGAAGGAAACACCCGTTTTTGGTAACGAAAGCAAAATGCCCTAACTTTAACTAAATTCAAGGTTTCTTAAAGAAAAATCCGGAGATCCTAACAGCCGGCAACCGTTGCGCTTCTTGCGCGCTTTATTTGTGTAAAATGGCAGGGAAATCTGAGTTACCAAGCTACACTCAACATGCTCCTGTTATTAAATTGAACCAGCTCAGTAGAGAATAAGAAGATGTCGTGCGACGGACAGCCAGTGATTGTGAGGCGCTCCTCTCTGCGTAACAAATCCTCGATCGTGGCAATATGCGACATGAACTTTGTGCTCCCAGAGACCATGCGAAGCAATTTTGGGCGAGACCTGACTCCAGCGCCAGCCCATTGGACCACAGCCGGCAGTTCGGGCAGATTGCACTTGTCTCTCGAAAACAAACGTCTGCAGTAGAAGCCGATACTGCCGGCAAGGCTGCTCCACGATCGCCGTAATGCTGCCATCCTCTTTCAATTTCCTAGCCGAGCTGCCATTGCAGACGCAGTGATGGAGTCATACAATTTCCTTGTGGCTTTAAGGAATCTCGGGGGCCGAGTCGCCGCATCTGGCGCCGAGCGCTGATTGGTCCGGCGGCGGCCAGCGTCGGCCGGTGCGGCTCTGCCATTGGTCGGCGCCACTGCGGCGAGGGTATTGGTTTGGGCGTAATGGTCGGTTAGGGATGCCCGGGCGGCGGATGGGCCGTATCATTTTGCGTTATAGCTTCATAACTTTAGTTTATAACTCGGGCCCTACTTGTTGATTGTCCTCAAATAGTGGCGCGATGCTTGTAAACTCGGCAAAGAGTGGTATGCAACTTAACCCGTCCACTGGCCAGCTCATTGGTAAGTACTGTCGCCACGGAGCCCTTTGTATGTGTGTATGCGCCCTGGCTGGCCTGCCTGTGCTTCTAATTAGGCGCTTTCGCCGTCCATTAGGCACGGCTAACACGGTAGGGAGTTGTGTGATCAAATTTATTTGGGTGGTTATGGGACGGGCGCAGCGGCGGGCGTCGCCCGGCGTGGTGGGCCCGCCGCCAGCGGCCGGCCGGCCCCCGTCCTGGACGGCCGCCACCGGCGGCATCCGACAGGTCAGGTCAGTGGTGCCCCGCGGCCTGCCGACACCCGTCCTGGCAGAGGGTTAACCCCACTGCTGGCCGAAGCGTATCACAGTGAGATCCGGTCGGTCGGCCCGTCCGCCCGCCCGGCCCGCGGGCGGTTTCGAGGCTCGAGCTGCCGTAAAGGCCGTGCGGGCAGCCGGCCCGGCCCGGGCTGGCCGTGGATGGCCGGGCCCATGATTTACCCAGGTAGATCCGTGTAGCCTAGTATGGCTCAACCGCGTCCATGGCATGCCTTGTAGCATTCCTCGGTATCTCCCTCTATCCATACTTTTACTTCCCGTTTGCCGCCTCCCATTTGTTTGAGGCAAAACATGCCTTCTAGCTGGGAGTAGAGGCCTCTCCCCTGAGAAGGGTGGTAATATTAACTATAGAATTTCTTCGAATCGAGGACATACAGTGCTGCCATGTAGTTCAGTCTCATATACTTTTATCTGCGGATACTGAAACTCACCAACGTAAACGAACTGTCGTGGAATGTGCGCCGAGGTTACGTAAATTTTCCCAAAATAAAGACATGTGCCGTCTCGGTGCATTTTGGCGACTTTCAGTGGTATTCTGACATACTGGGGAGACGAGACAAATACTTGGCCGAAGTGGGGGAGGGGTGGCCTTTCCATAGAGATCCACAGCATCCATCATCCATGGTCTCAATCCCCCAGGACATCCTGGCGTGAATGACACCATTAGCAGGAACCGTCGCTGAGTATATGAACCGTGCCGCATTGCCCACTGCTCGAAAGCCGGGAAAAAAGCTGTTTGCAGTCGAGGAAAAAAACATGTTTTTCCGAGGGCTAAAAGCGCGGTTGTGCCTCTTTGCGTACGTCGTTGGCACGAACATCACTTCATTAAACTTAATTACGGGGCGAAAGGCATTCAAAAAACGCACGCTTTGTGGTTGCTTTCAATGCTGTTACCTATTTTTGTTTTAATTTCCGTATCACATTGGATGCTGGCACAAACATTGAAAATGTAAGCTCCCAAAGAATATACGAAACCTAAACACGTGACTGGTTGCACCTTCCAATTTAGGACGCCGTTTGGTCAGGACAACGTTGCGCGGGGGAGGGGGAGCGGCGGTGGTGCATAGTGGTCAGGGCGCCCGATTCTGGACCTGTTGGCCTTTGGCTCTAGCCCCTGCCACGCCAACACCGCACCCTACACGACACCCTAACACAGGCGTCCGCCTCGGAATGGCTCTGGCAATCGGTGAGACGTGAGGCCCCATGCATTATGATAAAGTCACGCGGGGATGAGACTGCTTCATTTACGCCTTGCACAATTCCGGGAAGACAACTTGAATTGGAAAGCAAGAGTGCCTCTAGGTATTTCATTTTGTTTTAGCGCGCTTTCGTACATGCTTCAGCTTGGTTGATCATTATATAAATGCAAAGTCCCAACACACAGGTGTAAACATATGAAAAATCACTGAAGGTAGTAACTTACAAGATATATATATATATATATATATATATATATATATATACATATATGTGTATATATATACATATACACATATATACGTGCGTGGGGGGAGGGGGTGCGTGTGTGTGCGTGTGTGGGTGTGGGTGTGGGTGTATGAATATATATATATATATATATATATATATATATATATATATATAATGAAGCAGTATAAAGGTAATGAAGTGCAATACATGGCAATTCACTATGTGTTTTAGGTAACCACTAGTAAGCAATCAGTCATGGTTGGTTTACCTTGGCACCTGTCTGAATGATACGTATTGACTTGGTAACAACCTCTTACACTGTTGATACGATTTGTTAGTTGCCACTTGTTGTGGTGTTATCTAGGGTGGTCCTAATCCGTTCGTTGCCTGACTTTTCTGATCGGGTCACGCCCGTCCCGCGGACTGATCCACTCCATAAAGTTTTCTAACATGTCAATTGCCAATGTTCGATGCTTCAACTGAAGCAACTGAGTATAGACAATACACCCATGTTTGTTCTATAACGCCGTTTAGTCATTATCTCCTCGGATATTGAGGGTCGATAACTCAACGTAATAACTTTGAACCCATAATTCCTTTTAGCAAGCTTGCTTAATGTCTAGGCCACCGGAATTGCTTCAGATGCCCGTACCTGGCCTGATGCTGTCTATGCACAGTACTGAACGGATGCAGGTAGCCGAAACCGCGCGCTCCCTCTTCTGACTGCCACCATCCGTACAGGCCACCAGGGGACCCTGAACAACCTGGAGTAAGGGCGCACCCACCAGGCAGCGGTCTGGCTCAGGCGGCTGACAGTACCTTGAATCGCTCATGGAGTTGACCTAAACCCCGGACTCGACACAGTTTGAACTCGCTGGAGGGCCTGGACTGGCTAGAGTCTCACGAGACACCGGCCTGGTTCTTGCCTTCGTAAGAGACCCGAGCGTGATGGAGGATCCGGGCTCACTGGAATCACACGTCACACTGAACGTGCCCTGGGGCTTGACGTGGGACCTAAACCCGCTGGAGGACTTGGGCTCGCAGCAGCCACACGAGGCCCTGATCTGACCCTGAACTTGACAGGAGGCCTGAACTCGCTGGAGGACCTCGGCTCGCTGGAGTCGCGCGTGACGTTGACGGAGAGCCAGCCGACGGCAGGCCAGAAGCAGAAGCGACACCGCACGCGCTTCACGCCCGCCCAGCTGTCGGCTCTGGAGAGTCACTTTGCGCGCACCCACTACCCGGACGTGTTCCTGCGGGAGGAGATTGCCTCGCGCACCGGGCTCACCGAGGCGCGCGTACAGGTCAGTCAGCGGCTTCCTCAGGCAGCTCACCAGTCGGCAGCCACCTCAGATAGCTGGTCAGAGTATAAGCCACCTCAGAGAGCTGGACAGTTGTCAGCCACCTCGGACAGCTGGCCAGTGAGCAGCCGCCTCAGACAGCTGGTCAAAGTATTAGCCACCTCAGAGAGCTGGACAGTCATCAGCCACCTCAGACAATTCACCAGTCGGCAGCCACCTCAGACAGCTGGTCAGAGTATTAGCCACCTCAGAGAGCTGAACAGTTGTCATTCCCTCAGACAGCTGGCCAGTCAGCAGCCGCCTAAGACAGCTGGTCAGTCAGCAGCCGCCCAGACAACTGAGCTAGGGCTGAGCTGAACTTCGGGCCTCCGTATGTTACTGCGCCCACTGCCCAAACAAAACAAAACGCAAAGCTGGCTATTTGCCTGCGAAGTTTTCTGTGCCCTGACATGCCCCTGTTTAGACCACGGCGCATCGTATTCAAGGTTAGTTTCGGAAAAGTGGACAACGGCTGCATCGCGGTCTAGTGTACCATACTGCTGAGATCGCCTATCGCACTGCCGGCAGTGCATTTGCCCACACCGCGCAATTGGTTTCGCGTCTTGATCTACCCTGGTTGCCGAGGTTTGACAACAACGCTGATAACATCGTAAACAGGCGAATCCACAGTGTACGCATTACAGCGCATGACCGAATGCAAGCAGCATCCTACACTGATGCCAATGTTGTCCGCTCTCTCTCTCGTCGTCTGTGTTGGCCTCTTGTCACGGCGCCGCCAGTCCGTCCTGATCGAGACCTTGCTGCCGGTCCGTCCTGATCGAGACCTCGCTTCGGTCCGTCCTGATCGAGACCTTGCTGCCGGTCCGTCCTGATCGAGACCTTGCTGCCGGTCCGTCCTGATCGAGACCTTGCTGCCGGTCCGTCCTGATCGAGACCTCGCTTCGGCCCGTCCTGATCGAGACCTCGCTTCGGTCCTCCTGATCGAGACCTCATTTCGGTCCATTCTGCTTGGTACCTCGTTTCGGTCGGTCCTGGTCGGGACCTCGTAAGGTTCCGTCCTGGTCGGGACCTCGTAAGGTTCCGTCCTGGTCAGGACCTCGTAAGGTTCCGTCCTGGTCGAGACCTCGCTTCGACCCGTCCTGATCGGGTCTCGCTTCTTCCGTCCCGGTCAGGACCTCACTTGGGTCTGTTTTAACCAGGACCTCGTTTCGGTCCGCGCAATTTGGTTCTTTGATCTTTGAACGTAAGGGTGATTACATGTGTGCTAGTTCAAATTGTAGTGTCTTAGGCAAATCACGTCTTGGAAAATATCTTGCAAACCAGTACGCAACGCTTTATGCAGCACAGCTTTCAAGCAATAGCGCTTCTTGTCCCTGATAGCTGCAAGAAGATGCGACTTGTGGCTGCAAAGATCAAAGCTTCTAAAGCGTTGACGGCTAAGCGGGGTCGTGATGGGCCGCTCAAGATGAAAATGTTGTTGGACCTAAACTGACCTCTGCAGTCGGCGCGCCCTGAAACACCATGAGCTGAACAGGCTATCATGGCTTAAGTAACAGACGCTCGGCTGCCGGCTTCGCTCGTAATCATGGCTTGTGGATGAATGCTGGATGACATACAGATGTTATAAAAGGTACATCTCCAGTTCTCTGAACAATACTCTACGGATGTCCATTCCCAAACTGCATTAAGGAAAAATCGGGCAGAAATCACCGTAGGGAAGTGGTATGTCAACCAGAGCTCACGCCCCCATCCATGCAAAGACAGCTGGCATCGACTCATTAGTAGGCCGTTGTCATCACGACATCCATTCGTGGGCTGAATATTTGTCTCCGCGGACCGATCTTTTATCGAAAGCACACCCGGGAGAAATCGGTCGCGAATATGGACCGAGAAAAGCGAGAAATTTTCGCGCGATAATAATCGCAGTATGCTGCAGCTGTTTTCAGCTTTTCTACGCATAGATCGGCAACATGCTTACCTTATCTAACGTTGACCTTGCCTGTAAGACTCCGACAGCTCTGATAAGATGGTCATGCTGTTTCCATCCGCATATCTTTCGAAAACCTACATCTTTCATCTCCGCACTATACCGAGCGACAGAGCTCCGCCGCTAATGCATTTGAGTAAAACTGGGAAACTTGGTCCGCGAAATGCAGAAAATTTATACCTGAAACCTGTCGCTGCGCTGGGCACATACTTAAACATAACATTGGTAATATCATGTCCATTTCTTACCAAATATCATCCTGTGAGCAGGTATATACGTTATGCTTTTGTCATGCCAACTTCCTCAGATGCTATGCCATTTTGAAAATAAGGATAGGGTTTTTGATAGCATAGTACAGGCAGATCGGAACTGACAAAAATAGGCTACAGTGCGCGAAGTACGTGGTGGCCCAGATAAAGGCTAACCGACGATCCCATTATGAATGACGAGCGTGTCTGTCGCACAATCGTGACTGTGGTGGTATTCGACTGTCAATGCCATGGTAAAACACAGTCAGCGACACTGTAGCAGTGATCAAAAATCACACATCCGCCAAATCGTGAGGGAGTACAAAAGATGATCCAGGTGGGCACCCTGGTGGTCCAAGATGCGCAACAGCTGAACCTGCCGCAGGTGGTCGATCGGCTGTTCGATCTTGTCGAAGGTGATGCGTCGCATCTCAAGTCCGAAGGTGGCCTTGACCTCCTGAAGGTTCGCTGGATTGTTCACGTGGTCGTGGGTATTGAGGTCCCTTCCATAGTATGGTGTCCATAGCCGACAGGTCGGGCGAGTAGGAAGTCATAGCACGACACTTTAAAGTCGATGTGCATTCTAGGGAAATGCTCCTCCAACCAATGCAGTGAAATTCGTGCCATGTGCGGTGTAACCCTGTTCTGATGGAGGCACTCGTCATCATGACCGACCTGGTGAGGATCCCAAGACTACCCAGATGGGTATCAGAGCGGTGGCGATGTATCCCTCTGAGGTAGTTTTGGCAGGGTTCTCATTCTCGTCCAGGGGCATCTTCTGAGTCACGATTTGACAAATATGAAAGCGCAGATGATTGCTGGTGTTTTGATCATGTTTTGCTACTGTAGACCACTGCAGATCATGTAGATCACTTCAGGGTCACCACAGTCTTGATTGTGCGAGGAACACATTTGCACCGTTGAGTAACGCATGGGCTAGCTTTCATCTGGACCACGCCGATGGGCGGGAAATATAGACACAGCCTGTCTATTTGTGTTACCTTCCGACGACTTATTTGCGAATTTGACATTGTTATGCTGTTCAGGCGAAAACTGACGGCAAAATCTGGAGACCTCACCCAACGCACCGGGCAGCGAATCTCACGGAAAAGAAGGGATGTTTTAACACGACTTCGCTCACCCGACAGGCGACAAGGAGCGCAAGTGCACTCACAGAACACAGTCATAATGCGTATGATGGAGCGACCATGAGCTTTTATTAAATGTCTAATCCGAGCCTTTTGTTTCGATGTATTTCTGGGATGTTCACGCTGAGCGCTGTTTGAAGATGATGTCAGAAGTGAATGCCTTCAGCTCCGAGGTTTTCAGCATAAGTCGAAAGCTCTTGCGTTGAGTTAATCATCTTCAATACAGGGGTAAAAAAGACTACCAATTTACAGGATATGATCGGTGACAAAAATGAACACGTTTGCGAGTTATTTTGTGACAAAATGCGAGAAGAAATCACAACTACAACACGCCATACCCATTAAAGGAAACTCAAAGCTTAGTATTGGTACGTACTCACTAACGCTTACAGGGTGAGCTTGTGTGGAGCACATGCCGAAACATTGACGTTTCACTGTAACAGCAGGTTGAGGAGCCACAGAATGCCTCCAAATGTGATAGCTTGAATCAGGATAACTTTTTGACAAGTGTTAGAGATGTACTGCAAACTATGCTATGTCACAGATGAGTGGTAGCACTGATTTTGTTTGGCGAGCTCGGCGGGCTTTATTTTAGACACTGCAGCTATAAACATAGCCTATGACTGTGATGTGAAATACAACAGAAATTCTCAGCCTTAATGTAAAGCGGTTTATAGAATCAAAACGAGTGTTAAACCAATAACAAAGCGGGAAGAGGCATTTTTTGGATGAATAAACTCTGCAAGACCTCTTTCTCCAACACTGGTATTGCCCTGTGTGTGGTGACATAGAGCATGGGGTGTGTTATGTGCCATTCATGGTTGTGATAAGGCCGCTCACCAAACATGTTCTCGCCTTTCTTCGTATATTTGAAGTCTTATGTTTAAACAAAATGTACGCGCTCACCGGCCTTAAGGGGACATTGCATATTCGTGGGACTTTGAACTGAAATAGCCATCTTTAAGACCATTCGGTGCGGTTTGCAGTGCTGCTCTTCTTAAGACCTAAACCTCCCTAGCTTCTGAAAACACGCCTGCTAAAATGCTCGGACTATTTCGAGGGGGGGGGGGGCGAACTATCTCAAGATTACGCAGGCACCTACGAACCCACAATAACATAATTCAAATCCTGTCATTCGATTAGCCATGCGGTGATCTAGGCCCATACACATGTAATTGTCTAGTCGTTCATATGTGGCGTTCGTGAGTACGGTTTCCAGATATAAGGACCGTCAATCGGCTCTTAATCAAGGTTGTGCAAGGTACATTGACGTAATCAAACAACGACGCAATAGGGAGCATGTTCGCTAAACAGAGAAATTTTGCTGCCTGGAACAATCTTTTCCTAGAAATATTCCAAAAGTAATCTTATTTCATCTTAGCTAATGCTTTATTCAATATCTTCAAATGTGGAAGATTCCATTTAACCACTGCCTTCTCAGTAAGTTGAAGGTCTGCACTTCAACATAAGAACTTCAAACTCAGCGCTGGTTACGTGGGTCCTGACCCCATTATCCGATCTACAATTACGGCTCAATGGCAGAGTTTGTTTGCGAGAGCATAACGTGCCGCTATGCTCGACCCGGTTCGTCCTGCCTCCTGATGTCCAGGAGTGAAAGTGCCAGCGTCCTCCGCTTGCCTCTGCAGCCACAGCTCAGGTATCCAAAAACTACAATCCTCCTGGATCAGCAGGGCTTTTGACACTATTATCTTAACAAACTGACGATTGGCTACGTTATTCTAGCTAGCCAGCTCTTCACGACATGAACACAACCAACTGCGCACATCCTTACGCTGAACCCGAAGCATTACCGCGCGGCGGGCATTTACGCCCATCTGCCTCGAATGACACGACGCTTTAAAACGCTGCGTAGTAAGCTGATAACATTTCCCGTGAGATGCCGCGGCCGTCTGAGATTCTTA